ACCAATCTGACCCACTATTTTAAAAGTTAGGACTAATGTAAAACACTTTTATAACGAGGGACTAAATTGAGATTTTTCAACCAAAGTGGGGACTAAATTGGCTATTAAACCTAAAATTAAACATCAAAATGTGATGCAGCACTAGTTAGGCGGACGAGACGTAAGAGGGCGAAAAGAGGAAGACCAAATAGGCGCCGTACCCAACGGTGGTAAGAGTGAAGTCATTATCATTTTTCAAACTTGATAAACAAATATAGTCATTGTACTAGACTTGTTAGAAAACCTTTCGACACCTAACCCGAGATCTACTGGCCTTAAATATATTTAGACCAGAAAACACCATAATTTCGAAGTGAATGACATCGTATCTATTTAAACGATGGACGTTAACAACCATTTTTAATAATTTTTTAACAATAACTTATATGTTATTATTTTATTATTCGTATATTTAAAATAAATCAATCACAAACTATTAAATTATTATAAAAAATTGTTAAAAAAAATATTAAAAAAAAACATTTCTTTTATTAGAAGTAAAGTTTGGGACCGTGGGATCCCATTCTGTTGGCCTAAACAACTTATTTCGTTAATAACAGGATTACTATTTTATTGATTTGTTTAAATTTATTTTTGAAAAAGTATTTGAAACGAATTTAATTAAAAACCATCGTATAAGCGTTATAAAAAATTTATAAAAAACAGTTGTTTCTTTTTAGTATATGCGTGAATGAAATATTAAGGTTTAATGTTTCGGTAGGTCCCTATTTTCGGCGGGAATCTCAAATAGGTCCCTTTTCTTTTCGGCGTTTCAATTGGATCTTTTTTGTGTAAAATTGTGGCAATTAAGGGTCTGCCGTCAAATTAAACAAACTGCCGTTTAAGTTTGGCCTACGTGTTATTAAAATGAGTTTGAATTGATTTTTGTATTAAAAAATGGATTGAGCAAACGTCAAATAAGATATCTTCAAGGGCAAAAAAGACAATTTCAATTGCTTATGTCGCATCTCACACGATTCCTCTCCTCCTCTTACTGTCACTAACTCCGGTCAATGCCTCTATCAACGACTACTCCAACAAGGCCTCCACTATTCCAACGTGATCGATGCAACAATACCTCCCTCCCCAACGCGCCACCACCGATAGCGGCGGCCCCGGCGCCGCCACTCTTCTTCCCCTTTCTCCCATCCTCGTTGTTCCCCTTGCTTATCCCCATAATCGCTCTCTTCTTCTTCCTGCTTCTGATCCCGCAGGCGTTGCACAGAGACTGAAAAAATAAACGACAAGAGAGTGAGATCAAGGGTGGATGTTAGTCCAGGTGGCGCGATCTGGGAAATGGAGAGAGTACTGACCTTAGGCCCTGCCGGACCTCCCCTCCAGAGTGGAGTCTTAGTGGTGCCGCAATCGGCGCAGGTTTTCTTCTGCTCATTGTTGCTGCTTGGACTGTTCCCCGAGGAAGGCGCGTTAGGGTCTGAGTCCTCACCCTCCGATCCCTGCACAACAACCTCCATTAATCAAACAAACCCTAATCAGAAACCCCGAAACCAGTATACAATAGCTAACTGTCACTTTTCCAGTTAACCTCGAGTTGCCGAAGCGCATCAAAACCTTCTTCCAGGGAACCGATGAACAGGTCCAGATGGATACGACGACCCTTGATGGGTGATCTGTCCTGTGATACATGTTACAACTTCAATGGAAAATCTAAATTGTTGTTTGTGGTGTTTTGAGGAGGGTATGCTGTTATTCCAGGAATGGCTATGAGGTCATATTCGGAGTCGTCGTTGAAAATGCGTGAGTTGGAGGTGAGGATGGAGGAAGAGTGGGAGGGGTTTTCGATCAAGAAGGAGGAGGGATCGAGGATGGTGTTGGTGGGTTCGGGGTTGAGTTCGGCCAACATGCTTTGGACCCATGAATGGAGATCCGTAGGGTCGTAGTGAACGGTGTCGGAAGCAAGGTGGGAAATTCCCTCTTCCTGGGCACTCCCCATGACCATCTCCAACTGCTCAAGCTTCTGTGCGACGTCTGCCATGTCGGAAGCACGAACCTTGTAGCCCAACGCCGTGAGCAACTCATCCATCCCTCCTCCCTGCTGGTGGCGGTCTTCCTCCCACATCTTGGTCTTGTCGTTGGGCATTGAGGAGCACTCACCCTTGACAGGGGACTACAATTAAAGTTTTGGATTTTCCCACTTTGCCCATCTGAATTCACATTTGTGCAATCCAAATTTTTAATACAAAATTCGTTTTTAATGCCACGTCAGATAATGAATACACTGACCATACCACGTAGGCCAAATTTAAACGGCCGTTTGTTCAATTTAACGGCAGACCCCTAATTGTTACAATTTTACACAAAAAAGGACCCAATTAAAACGCCGAAAAGATAGGGACCTATTTAAGATTCACGCCGAAAATAGGGACCTACCGAGACATTAAACCAAATATTAATGAAGAAAAGGGAGTGTTGGCTTGCATGCAGGAGGTAAGTTTCTCGCCTTTGGTTGGGAAGGAGAAATAAGGGTTGGCTTACCTGCTACGAGTGGGTCCCGCGAACTCTTGAAGAAAGAGGAAAAAGAAAAAAAGGGTAATGGGTTTCTTTCATGTGAGGAGTGTTCTCTTTTGGGCACATGGGCTTTTATGCAAGGGGCAAGGTCAGGGTGTGCCTCTGTTTTGTTGAGTTTGTTTTATATTAAAGTCAAGAATGAGTGTAGAGCCGTGGGTAGTTTAACATAGTTGGGTTCTCTTGTTATGTGTTGCTGTTTTAGAGGGGGAAGTTTTCCCTTCTTTCTCGTTTTCTTATTGGTCTTTCGGACCATTGTTGGGCCACGGGTTTGGTTTTGGATGTACTGTGTTGGAGTAGGATTTTGTTATTTACGCTTTTCATTATTTTAGAGGACCGATTATGAGTGCTGGTGTGCTTGTTATTTTATGTGGTAATATTAATATAAAGAGGAAGTGTGACTATTGCAATGTGTTAGACAAGGGTTGTTGGAAATATTCAGTGTACATTTAATGAGGTTGAACTTAGTGGATGAATGATTAATATAATTAGAATTGTGTTTAAACATTCTGATTGGTTGAGTAATACATGTTATTGAGAATGTGTGTTGATTGTGATGCAAATATGAAATTATGTCATTTTCTTATACTGTGATTAGTGTGAGCTTTTCGTATTGCATTATGTTAAGGATATGTGAGTCTCATATAGAGACAGAGATTTGAGTGTCACTTCCTTCTGCGCGAGGAGGTGAATTTCTTGTCCAAAAAAAAGGTTTCGGCTCGTGCTAAGTATAGTGCACATGTAACGCCCCAAATTTTCAAGGTGTTACAGGTTATTCAAAAATCGGTAAAAATTTCAAACTTTAACATAATGCGGAAACATACTTTCGAAACCTCAATATTTAAACATGCATAAAACATAATAGTTCCAAAACACTTGTCCAATGAAAATAACGAAGCAATTAAAATAACTTCAATTACATTGTCTCAAAGTTCAAAAGCAATAACTGTAAATAAAATCTCTTTTCCCCTGTCATCTCTCGAGTCTATCATGCTTCAGCATCATCTGCAACATCATCTGCTCACGTATAACATCACACATTATACGATCATCGCATTCACTTGCACACACACAAACATGTATGAATAAGCTACCGGTAAAACAATCATAATAACATGATATAAACATACTGATTAAATCAATAATAATCAGACAACCCATACATAATCATAATAACAATAAGAGTCCTAGTCCTCTAACATAACAATTCAATTAAACGAATTACTCGATCCTCAATCCTCGATCCCTGATCATCATCATAGGTACACCACCAACATGATTATCCAAATCATAAATCTCACCGTGAGCATAACCAAACCATGAACTTTAACATGACAAGACTCAGTCACACTCTTGTACCTTACCTCACCGACTGTAGATGCTTCTACAATCCCATATGTAGCTTCCCCATACAGATACACTCGAGTCATCCTTCTTCTGGCTTCAGACTTGTTCCCCTATTCCCCTCACCAAAGAAGATTCAACANGGGACTAAATTGGCTATTAAACCTAAAATTAAACATCAAAATGTGATGCAGCACTAGTTAGGCGGACGAGACGTAAGAGGGCGAAAAGAGGAAGACCAAATAGGCGCCGTACCCAACGGTGGTAAGAGTGAAGTCATTATCATTTTTCAAACTTGATAAACAAATATAGTCATTGTACTAGACTTGTTAGAAAACCTTTCGACACCTAACCCGAGATCTACTGGCCTTAAATATATTTAGACCAGAAAACACCATAATTTCGAAGTGAATGACATCGTATCTATTTAAACGATGGACGTTAACAACCATTTTTAATAATTTTTTAACAATAACTTATATGTTATTATTTTATTATTCGTATATTTAAAATAAATCAATCACAAACTATTAAATTATTATAAAAAATTGTTAAAAAAAATATTAAAAAAAAACATTTCTTTTATTAGAAGTAAAGTTTGGGACCGTGGGATCCCATTCTGTTGGCCTAAACAACTTATTTCGTTAATAACAGGATTACTATTTTATTGATTTGTTTAAATTTATTTTTGAAAAAGTATTTGAAACGAATTTAATTAAAAACCATCGTATAAGCGTTATAAAAAATTTATAAAAAACAGTTGTTTCTTTTTAGTATATGCGTGAATGAAATATTAAGGTTTAATGTTTCGGTAGGTCCCTATTTTCGGCGGGAATCTCAAATAGGTCCCTTTTCTTTTCGGCGTTTCAATTGGATCTTTTTTGTGTAAAATTGTGGCAATTAAGGGTCTGCCGTCAAATTAAACAAACTGCCGTTTAAGTTTGGCCTACGTGTTATTAAAATGAGTTTGAATTGATTTTTGTATTAAAAAATGGATTGAGCAAACGTCAAATAAGATATCTTCAAGGGCAAAAAAGACAATTTCAATTGCTTATGTCGCATCTCACACGATTCCTCTCCTCCTCTTACTGTCACTAACTCCGGTCAATGCCTCTATCAACGACTACTCCAACAAGGCCTCCACTATTCCAACGTGATCGATGCAACAATACCTCCCTCCCCAACGCGCCACCACCGATAGCGGCGGCCCCGGCGCCGCCACTCTTCTTCCCCTTTCTCCCATCCTCGTTGTTCCCCTTGCTTATCCCCATAATCGCTCTCTTCTTCTTCCTGCTTCTGATCCCGCAGGCGTTGCACAGAGACTGAAAAAATAAACGACAAGAGAGTGAGATCAAGGGTGGATGTTAGTCCAGGTGGCGCGATCTGGGAAATGGAGAGAGTACTGACCTTAGGCCCTGCCGGACCTCCCCTCCAGAGTGGAGTCTTAGTGGTGCCGCAATCGGCGCAGGTTTTCTTCTGCTCATTGTTGCTGCTTGGACTGTTCCCCGAGGAAGGCGCGTTAGGGTCTGAGTCCTCACCCTCCGATCCCTGCACAACAACCTCCATTAATCAAACAAACCCTAATCAGAAACCCCGAAACCAGTATACAATAGCTAACTGTCACTTTTCCAGTTAACCTCGAGTTGCCGAAGCGCATCAAAACCTTCTTCCAGGGAACCGATGAACAGGTCCAGATGGATACGACGACCCTTGATGGGTGATCTGTCCTGTGATACATGTTACAACTTCAATGGAAAATCTAAATTGTTGTTTGTGGTGTTTTGAGGAGGGTATACAGATATTCCAGGAATGGCTATGAGGTCATATTCGGAGTCGTCGTTGAAAAAACGTGAGTTAGAGGTGAGGATGGAGGAAGAGTGGGAGGGGTTTTCGATCAAGAAGGAGGAGGGATCGAGGATGGTGTTGGTGGGTTCGGGGTTGAGTTCGGCCAACATGCTTTGGACCCATGAATGGAGATCCGTAGGGTCGTAGTGAACGGTGTCGGAAGCAAGGTGGGAAATTCCCTCTTCCTGGGCACTCCCCATGACCATCTCCAACTGCTCAAGCTTCTGTGCGACGTCTGCCATGTCGGAAGCACGAACCTTGTAGCCCAACGCCGTGAGCAACTCATCCATCCCTCCTCCCTGCTGGTGGCGGTCTTCCTCCCACATCTTGGTCTTGTCGTTGGGCATTGAGGAGCACTCACCCTTGACAGGGGACTACAATTAAAGTTTTGGATTTTCCCACTTTGCCCNTAATACATTTAAAAAAAATAATCATCCCTACTATTTTTCAATCTTAATCAAGCAACACCAAAACCAACATGAAATTGAAGGAAAAATACGAAAAAAATACATTTGTAATGAAAATATGAAAATTTACAAAATCTTACCTTTGTATATAAAATTTGAAAATTTATAATTTTAAATAATGAAATTATTATCATAAAAATCTTTCATTTCAAATTCTTTTAAAATTATTTATTCAAGAAAATCTATTATATTCATAAAGCACTTCAAATTATACACAAAAATAAGTTATCCTGTTAAAATTCTATATCCACACATTACAATCCATTTTTATCTTATGAAAAAGCTTTTATTTGTTAGACAGTTGGCATGGTTTTATGGGTTATGATTTTTTTTAGGAAAATGACACTTGAACAACCATTTTTGACAACATTTAGACACGCGCACACGTGTCTAAATTTGAGTGGTCCATTTTCATTTAATTTTTCCAACTGGACCACTCAAATTTAGACACGTGTGCGCGTGTCTAAATGTTGTCAAAAATGGTTGTTCAAGTATCATTTTCCTTTTTTTTATTAGAAGTGTTCTCACCATTTTTCTTTTTGTTTAATTTGTTTTCATGGTTGACTTTTTTTTTTATAATTAAAATCTTATATATTTTTCTCTTAATTATATTTTGGCGTGCTTTTCTGCATGGTAATAACATAAAAATTATATTTGGCTCCAAACGTTTGGCCAAGAATAGGAACCATGAGTGAAAAGGGTGCCTAGTATAATTAAGGTTTAATAGGTTCGGAGGTCCCTATATTTGCGGGTTCGTTTCACTTGGGTCCTCCAATTTTAGAAGTGATCAATTAGATTCCTAATTTAACAAAATTGAGTCAATAATACCCTTTCCGTTAAATGAAAGGGAATCTGAATGCAAATTAAAAATTGCAGAAATTGTCACGTATTAAGCTCAAACTCTGTCACCTACAAATAAAATAATGTCTCAGCATGCCACCTGTTTAATTTGCATTCAGATTCCCTTGTATTTAACGGAAAGGGTATTATTGACTCAATTTTGTTAAATTAGGAACCTAATTGATCACTTCTAAAATTGGAGGACCCAAGTGAAACGAACCAGCAAATATAGGGACCTCCGAACCTATAATTAAATAGCCACGTACATTGTGAAATAAAATTAAGGTTTAATAGCCAATTTAGTCCTCACTTTGGTTGAAAAATCTCAATTTAGTCCCTCGTTATAAAAGTGTTTTGAATTAGTCCTAACTTTTAAAATAGTGGGTCAGATTGGTCCNCTTGTCCAAAAAAAAGGTTTCGGCTCGTGCTAAGTATAGTGCACATGTAACGCCCCAAATTTTCAAGGTGTTACAGGTTATTCAAAAATCGGTAAAAATTTCAAACTTTAACATAATGCGGAAACATACTTTCGAAACCTCAATATTTAAACATGCATAAAACATAATAGTTCCAAAACACTTGTCCAATGAAAATAACGAAGCAATTAAAATAACTTCAATTACATTGTCTCAAAGTTCAAAAGCAATAACTGTAAATAAAATCTCTTTTCCCCTGTCATCTCTCGAGTCTATCATGCTTCAGCATCATCTGCAACATCATCTGCTCACGTATAACATCACACATTATACGATCATCGCATTCACTTGCACACACACAAACATGTATGAATAAGCTACCGGTAAAACAATCATAATAACATGATATAAACATACTGATTAAATCAATAATAATCAGACAACCCATACATAATCATAATAACAATAAGAGTCCTAGTCCTCTAACATAACAATTCAATTAAACGAATTACTCGATCCTCAATCCTCGATCCCTGATCATCATCATAGGTACACCACCAACATGATTATCCAAATCATAAATCTCACCGTGAGCATAACCAAACCATGAACTTTAACATGACAAGACTCAGTCACACTCTTGTACCTTACCTCACCGACTGTAGATGCTTCTACAATCCCATATGTAGCTTCCCCATACAGATACACTCGAGTCATCCTTCTTCTGGCTTCAGACTTGTTCCCCTATTCCCCTCACCAAAGAAGATTCAACACTCGAGTACCATTCTCTTTTCTACAACTATTTGCCAAAGAGAATGTCACCCTCTTTTCAACAACCAATGCCAAAGGGAATATCCCTCCCTTTTCAACAACCAATGCCAAAGAGAGTCACCACTCTCTTTTCAACAACCAATGCCAAAGAGAGTACCTATCCGCAGATAGAACCAGGATTTACTAGGTACAACAAGTAGACCTCATCTTCCACTCTCATTCTCATCTAACACATACCAAGGTACATACCAATACTCACATATGCTCCAATCTCATCCACAAGTCAAACCTAACCTTAAACAGAACCCATAAACTCATTCTCTTATTCTCATCACGTTCTATAACTTCTCCAAAATAGAGCTACTGATGCAAGACTTTTTTCTCCCAAATTGAACCTTTGGTTGACAATCCGAACCGTCAAAATGAAGAACCATATGTCTGGAACCCACTGTCCAAAACTCAGCTTGATCCAACGGTGAACGACTTCGCCGCGATGAAAACACCAGTGCAGGTTTTGTGATATTCGGAAATACTTTCCTCTTTTCGTTTAGGCTGTTTCTCCCAACGTAAACATCAAATTGAAGATCCAAACGGTCAAAATGAAGAACCATATGTCTAGAACCCACTGTCCAAAAGTCAGCCCGATCCAACGATGAGCGACTTCGCAACGACGAAAACACCAGTGCAGGTTTTGTGATATGCGGGAATGACTTCTTTTCTTTCCTTTAACACAATACTTACAACATATATTTGCATGGAAACCCCCATAAATCATAACTTTATTCTCCCTTAACATCAAACCCTTTGTTGAGATAACCTAACAACCATACATACATTCATAGGAAAAACCCAACACGAATATTACATAAACCCTATGCCCATGCATACATAAACCCTTGCCCAACAAGAGCAACATACAACCATAATCATAATCATATAAACTTATATCAATAAGGATTATTAACCAAATAACCAAGAACACATATATTATACAACAATTAACCAACAAAGTAAGCTTCCCATACCTTGGCCAATCTTAGGGTTTGATCTAACTTCAAAAATACAACGAGTCCTCCCTTGCACTAGGTTTTCTGCAGCTCTTCCTCTTCTCTCCTAGAAATGTCTCTTCTCTCCCTTAACTTTCAAATTTTCGCTTTTGTATTTTAGGGTAGCAATATGCAGCCCCCTTTTACTCCTCTCCTATTTTTTATCTTTTTCTATTATATTTCTATCTTTTTAATTAAAATAATATTTCTCATTTAATCTATAAAACCACCAAGACTTCCTTTCTTATTTTATTTTATCTAATATTTAAAATATCAACAACCACCAAATATCTGAAAGATTCACATAATCTTTGTATTTTGTTTTAGATTTTATTTTTATTCCTTTTCTTTCTACACCCCCTTAACTTAATGTCCACACCACTTAATGAGGGTATAAGACTTTTTTACCCTTGGGCCTCAAAATACAAATTAAACCCAAAAGTTTACTTTAACTCTCTTTCTTTCTAAAATTTGGCTTGATAAGTCCAAAAAAGTAGTAAATTTTCATATGAAATTTTGGCACTTATGTTTTAATTTGTGTACATTTGTATCAATTCGCCCCAATCTAAGAAAGATGAAATGTAATCATATGTTTCCGAGTTGTTGATTAAAAGGAAATCATTTGATCCCTATTTTGTATATGTTCTAGGTAAATTAAGAGAGAAGAGAAAAGAGAGAAGAGCAAATTCTGCAACAATTCGCCCAAGCTAAAATGATCTTGCTTAAGCAAGATTCGTCCAGGAAGCCATTACTTTATAAGTCATTCTCGCTTCAGCGAGAATAATTTAGCTTAAGCGAGAATGACCTATCTTCTCCAAGAAGTTTCTTCTCGCTTAAGCGATAATCATCTAGCTTAAGCGAGAATTCGCGCAATATATATACTCATGAGTCAGAAAGAAAGAAGAACGGAGAGAGCGGCGGAGAAAAATCACAGAGTTATCAAAAGGGTTGTTCTTCTACTTTAGATGTAGGATCTTCTTCTTCATCTCTTAGAATGCTAATGGCCACCATGAGTGGCTGATCTTTTCTCTTGGGATTGAATGTAATCGATTCGAACTCAAGTGTAATCTGGTGATATTTTTCTATAACATTTCTGTTTTATTCAATATTGGTATTTTTGTTCAGCTCTTAGTGCTTGATTCTATCTGATCAATAGTTTCATGAATGTGGGTTTTAGTTTTGACTAGAAAGTATTTCTAAAATCTCATCTGAACAAGAATAC